GGAGGTTGCTGGGCTAGGGGAGGGAGGAATGGGGAAGCTGTTGTTTAACAGGTGTAGAGTTTTAATTTTACAAGATGAAAAGAGTTCTAGAGATTGGTTGCATAACAGTATGAATGAACTTAACGCTACTGAATTGAACACTTAGAAATGGTTAAGATGGTAAATTTTATGTTATATGTTTTTACCACAATTTTAAAAAAAGGTTTGTAAACTTTTGGCAGTAGTTTTATCCTGCATATTTTCTATTAGGAATCAGGGATTGTATATTTTGATTGGGAATCTAAGTAAATAAAACATGAAATTACTCCTGATTAATAAAATGCACATAGATTTAAAAAACAAAATAGACTTCCTCCATCCTACATTCTCCAGCTACCATTCTCTTTCCTGTCCCTTGTGGTCAATCAACGTTAATTAAAAATGATAACACCTTTTGTATTAATTCATTATCATTTACCTAGTCCATCCTGCCTCCTTTACCTGGCACAGGGTTCCCTGAAGGCAGGGTGCTTGTTTTGGGACTCCTTCAAATCTCCTCTCTCAGCACAGTACCAAACCTGCCCATCTTCAATTAATACCCTTTCTTGGTGAAATCTTATATTTTTAACACATTTCCTTATTCTTTCCTTATCTATACTAATAAAAGGGTAATATGCTAATTAGACTGGTTCAACTGGCCATTTTTCAGATGTCCTACTTTTTTCCAGACAAAGCCATGGTGGTGGGGTCTGAGGCAGAGCCCATTAGGGTTGAGATCAGGCTGGCAGGGGAGAGCAGTTAGAGGCAAGATCAGCCTGGCAGAGTGTTAGGGGCAAGATCAGGCTGGTAGGGGGGTTTAGGGACGATCAGGCTGGCAGGGGAGAGCATTTTGGAGCAACAATGCCTGCAGGGGAGGGCAGTTGGGGGCATTAGGAAGGCAGGCAGGTAAGTGGTTAGGAGCCAGTGGTCCTAGATTGCAAGAGGGATGTCCGACTGCCAGTTTAGGACCGATCCCACATCTCCCGAGGGGGTTCCTAGATTGGAGAGAGTGCAGGCTAGGCTGAAGGACCCTCCTGCCCCTGTGCATGAATTTCATGCACTGGGCCTCTAACAACACATAATTATTGAGTTGTGGTGGAAGATGAATAAAATATAGTGAGTGCCTTCAAGGAGTTTAAAAATCTAATTGTAGGAGGAGGATCCAAGATGGCTGCTCGGGTAGACATCTAGCCGCGGCAGCACACAACAATTTCAATGGAATACAACTAAAATGTAGAGTGGACATTGCCCAGAGCTACAGGTAGTCGACTGACTGAAATTTCTACAACAAGAAGGAAAGAGAAAACCAGAAAGAAAATCAGAAGAGCTGAAAAAAAGCCTAAGGTACGGAGACATGCTGCGCGCGTGCGCCCGTGCCCGCCCGCACGCGCGCACGGAGAGGTCGCAGCCGGAGAGGAGGAGAGGGCGGGGAGCCGCCTTTCCTTCCCTAGCAGGAAGGAAATAAAACCCCCAGCCTGGGCTGAACCCCCGAACCGGCAGCGCTGAGACCCTCCCCCCCCCCCCAACCGGCAGCACTGAGCCCCAGTTATGGGCCAGACCCTGGGGACCCAGGCCCCGGTGGGAGGAGACGGGGCAGTGAGGCGGAAAAACGGCGAAAAGCAGGCGCGCAGAGGACTGAATGTTGACTCTGATGCTGGGTTGCCCTAGCCGGAAGAAACAAGGCCTCCGGCGGCGGTGAGCCTCAGTCCGGACTGCTCCGAACCCCAGTTCTGGGCTAATCCCTGGGGATCCAGGCTCAGGCAGAGGGAGACGGGACTGTGAGGTGGAGTCTGGGGAGAGCGGCGAAAGGCCGGGCCCCCGGGACTCGCGCAAACTGCGCGCAGAGGACAGTCTGTGGGACTCGCGCAAACTGCGCGCAGAGGACAGTCTGTTGACTCTGATGCTGGACTTCTCTAGCGGGAAGGAGAAAAAAAAAAGCTCTAGGCTGGGGGAATGCGGAGGGGAGCGGAAGCCCCTGCCTGACTCCAGCCAACCGGGCACCAGCAAGGAGGCGGGCCACGGGGCCCCTAGGGGCGTGGGTGCCCCTGAGCCTTTGACCACTGAGCTCGGGCAATGGAGCCAAGGCCGGGGGCTGCTTCCTGGGCGGCGCCGTTCCCGGCAACAGGCTAAAGCAGCGCAGGAGCCCGCGGAGAACAAAGGGGTGCCACAGGCCAACCTGCTGAGCTCCCAGGACAAGGAGGAAGAAACCAAAGAAGTTCTCAATGTGAAGAAATCAAATGAGAGCAAAAAATAGTAAAATTACTTAAGAAAGAATACAAAGAAGATCTTGAAAAATCAAAGACTAAGTCAGAACTCAACTCACCAGCCAACATTGCAACATAAATGCGTTTTAAAAAGAAAAAAAAAAAGGACAGAATGTTGGAACAGCGACGGCCAGGCCTAGAGTGGCCAGGCACAAGGCAGTGGCAGCCAGACCCGGAGCAGCAACGGCCAGGCCCCAGAACAACAGCAGCCAGAACCAGAGCATCAACAGCCAGCACTGGAGTAGCCAGACCTGGGGCAGTGGCAGCCAGGCATGAGGCGGAGGCGGCCAAGCCCAGGGTGGCCAGTCCAGGAACACCCAGACCCGGAGTGGCCGGGCCCGGAGAAGCCGGGCCCAGAGCAGCCGGGGTGGGAGCAGCCAGACCCAGAACAGCAGTAGCCAAGCCCAGAGCATCCAGGTCGTCAGTGGCCAGGCTCTGAGCGGCCGGGCCCGGGGCAGCCGGGCCCAAAGCAGCCGGGTCAGGTGTGGCCAGGCCCGGAGCAGCGGCTGCCAGGCTGGGAGCGGCCAGGCCCGGGGGAGCAGGCGGGTCGGGTGCGGCCAGGCCCGGAGCAGCGGCTGCCAGGCTGGGAGCGGCCAGGCCCGGGGGGAGCAGGCGGGTCGGGTGCGGCCAGGCCCGGAGCAGCGGCTGCCAGGCTGGGAGCGGCCAGGCCCGGGGGAGCAGGTGGGGCTGGTGCGGCCAGGCCCGGAGCAGCGGCTGCCAGGCTGGGAGCGGCCAGGCCCGGGGGAGCAGGCGGGTCGGGTGCGGCCAGGCCCGGAGCAGTGGCTGCCAGGCTGAGAGCGGCCAGGCCCAGGGGAGCAGGCGGGTCGGGTGCGGCCAGGCCCGGAGCAGCGGCTGCCAGGCTGGGAGCGGCCAGGCCCGGAGCAGCAGCAGCCAAGTCCAGAGCAATTAGGTCGGGAGCGGCAGTGACCAGACCCAGAGCAGCTGGTTGTGGAATGAACCAGAGCAACAGAGGCCAGGCCCTGAGCAGCCAGGCTCAGAACAGCTCGCTCCTCGCCTGCCCCTGCCCCACGGCTGCCTCTCAGACATGGCTGGAAACTTTCGTGGGAACTTGAGGGTCTGCTGAATCAAGTGATGAAGGCTTAGATCTGGATGTGTTGAGTTAGTTTAGGACTGGGGTGTTGATCTGTGAGTGCCTTGGGTGGGGCCTAGATGAGGCTGGTGGACCTATTGGGAAATGTCTTTTGTGTGAAGTGTATCATTGGGCATGTGGAGGTATTATTGATATGAGAAAATGCTAAGTAACTGATTTACTATCTGAAAAGGGATTTACTATTGGGGAAATTGAGGGAAGAAGAGACTGAACATAAAGTGCACCTATGGATGAGGACAATGGGGGATGGGGAGGGGGCAGAGGGTGGGGTGGGTACCTGGTGGAGGGGGGAAGAAATGAGGAACCTTTGTAATAATATGAACAATAAAGATTGATTTAAAAAAAAAAAATCTAATTGTAATTCCACCACCCCGCCTCTACCACTTTCAAGAAGGATTCTATATAGTTGTAATCTGATAAAAAGGGTTAAATTTGTATATTAACTATAGGAGTGTTAAGAATGAAAAAAAAACTGTTAAGGCATACAATGCCAACCACTTCACAATGGACTTTGCATATTTCTTATGGACATGGCAGGTTTCCTCTATGAAAATAGCAGATCAGAGTGGAATAATAGGATGGAACAACGGCGGAAGGCTTTGAATGTTAGAAGACCGTGACTTACTACAGGGGCTGGTGGGAAGCAGAGGGGGTTAGGGGTGATCAGAGCTGGGTATGAAGAATGTTAATCTGGCTGCTCTTTGGATGAGGAGTAAGGATCCTATTGCAGATGCTCAGATAAGAGAGCTTGCTCAGGTGGCAAAAGACAGCATGGGAAGAGGCACGGTGGAGGAAATAACCAGTGTGTCTTGGTGATTAAAGGGAATTGGATGAAGGGGAAATTAAAGATAATTGGAATGGGCTTTGTTATGAACACAAATGGGAAATAAGGAGTGGGCCAGAAATCACAGCACCCTCTTCCTCCTGCGGTGTCCCTGCAGTGCCCTCTGCCGAGGAAGTTTAGCAGAGGGTCATTTTAAATGCTATGGGAACTCGATTGTTGTCACGGAGCATGTATAGAAGTTGAATAAACTGATAACTGACAGTTACATTGGTCTGGTGATGCCTTGTTTTTTATTATTGGCCCTGCTCATTAATGTGCTCATTCTGGGGTTCCCTGATTTTTCTTGATTAATTTTCTGTAACAACTTTATCTTGTTCCAGGTTAAAACACACACACACACACACACACACACACACACACACACACAGTAATTTTTATATAATTTAAATGAATTTTAATTTTTTTAAAGTTAAAAAAATTAATTTTTACCATTCCCGTGGTAAAAATTCTTCTGGTTATCAACAAGAATAATAAAGAAGTGAGTGAAGTGGAAAATGAGAGTCCCTTGCTTCACATTTCCATCTTTTTGAGGTTAATATTTTTATGTGTATCTTTCAGAATGTATTTCTAAGCTCATACCAGTGTGTGTGTGTTTAATAAAAATGCTTAAAGATTTTAAATAGTTATGCCTGTATCTCTGACAAAGAAATGTCTTTTGTTTCTCTTTACAGCCAGTATACCTGCCCACGAGACTGAGACCATTATAATGTCCCTATGTGGCTCTTCTCACAAGGAGTTTTCTCAGATGTTACCTATTCAAGACATGGATATCAAAAACTCCCCATCTAGCCTTAACTCTCCTGCCTCCTACAACTGCAGTCAATCCATCCTTCCCCTGGAGCACAGCCCCATATACATACCTTCCTCCTATGTAGAGAGCCACCATGAATACTCAGCCATGACATTCTACAGCCCAGCTGTGATGAATTACAGTATTCCCAGCAGTGTCAATAACTTGGAGGGGGGACCAGGTCGACAGACCACAAGCCCAAACATGTTGTGGCCAACTCCTGGACACCTCTCTCCTTTAGCCATCCACTGCCAGTCTTCAGTTCTGTATGCAGAACCTCAAAAGAGTCCTTGGTGTGAAGCAAGATCACTAGAACACAGCTTACCTTTAAACAGGTAAATCTAGTCTTTACTGTAGTTAATGGGCATTATTCAAATTGCTTTACGATGTTGTGAGAAGAAAGATATACATTATATGAGGTTTTATTAGTCACATTGATTACTTAGAGCATCTAGAACATGATATTCTAGAATTTCCATTTTAATATTCGAGTTCTCATTAAAAGTTGAGTTTGTAGATCTGTGTTGTGGAGAGAACTCACAATCATGACCATTTACATCACTTTTCTTCAGATGAAGTGATTTGGGTTTGAAAAAGAAATTTTTACTTTCAGTTTGGATCCTCCTTATCTTGTAAGTGAAATCACAGTTTAGTGTTTATGAACTCCAGAGAGCAAGAAGATAAATGCTGCATGCTATATTTTTGTGTTTTCCTACAAAGTCTCTCTTTTCCCTTTAAGACTTTTTACAAGAATATTTTCTTTGCCTCCAGAGAGACATTGAAAAGGAAGGTTAGTGGGAGTAGTTGTGCCAGCCCTGTTATGAGTCCAAGTTCAAAGAGGGATGCCCACGTCTGTGCTGTCTGCAGTGACTACGCATCAGGATATCACTATGGAGTCTGGTCATGTGAAGGATGTAAGGCCTTTTTTAAAAGAAGCATTCAAGGTACAAGAGTATTGTTAGTTGTTTTTAGAGTTTTTCACTTTTGCTTTCAAATAGTTTGGCAGATGACCTGGCAAAAATTTCACCACTGGCCTCTTGTACACAAAGTATTTGATGAGCGGTTTAGAGGCTCATGTGTGTTTGGGGGTGGGGTGGATTGTTTCAAGTTTAAAGTCCTTAATAAGTTGTGGATCTCCACCTCAGAACCCCAGAACTCAAATGGGTCTTGCCTTACAAATATCCATCACCATCTTCTTGGGAGAAGACATCTAGTTGCAACTCTTATCAAGCTAAAGCTTGGGAAAAAACGGTGTTCATTAGGAATTGCAATGCAATTAGGAAATGCAAAGATTGTTTCTTCCTTTGACTTACGTTAAATATCTAGCATGAGTAACAGACATAATCATGGGCTGGCTCCGGAGGAAGAGAGAATAAATACATCTATGGAAATGGTCAGAAATCAGGAATTCAACTCCAGTGGGCTTTGAGAATTGATCTAGAGGCCTGCCTTGTTCTGAACGAGTGGAGCCTCCATCCATAATCCTCTTGTTTTCCTTGTCTTGGTTTATACCATTTTCCTACAGCCCCTTAAATTCCTGTTGGGCTGAGTAGTTTTTTTTTAAATCACCTTTTTAAAATCCATTTCAAATTATGCAAACTTGCATTCTAGGCCAGTTGGGCCATCACCTCACCTGTCCTTGCCATGCTGTTCCTCCCTGGCCAGCCCAAATTTGCTGAAGTTGCTTTCTTTTTTTATTGAATTAAATTTATTGGGGTGACATTGGTTAATATATTTTATAAATTTTAAGTATACAATTCTATGATATCTTTATATTGGATTGTGTACTCACCACCCAAAGTCTAGTCTCTTTCCATCACCATATAGTTAGACCCCCTTTACTCTCTTTATCCTCCTCCTACCCCTGGTAACCACATTGCTGTTATCTGTGTCTATGAGCTTGTTTGCTTTACTTTGTGTGTGTGTGTGTGTGTGTGTGTGTGTGTGTGTGTGTGATGTACCCATAATTCTTGGGCACTTAAAAAAATCTTTATTGTTGAAAGTATTACAAATATCCCTTATCTTACCCTCATTAACTCTTGGGCCCTTCTTTACTTCCCAGCACAACAAGCTGTTTCAGGTTCATCTTGTACTATCTCTGCCCCAGTCCTGAAATAAACTTTCTCCAAAGAGCCCCATTTCTTCTTAAAAGAGAATGATATTTACAAACCAAGATCTCGGTGCTAGTTTGCTCATTGTTCTTGGGTGTCCCTACTTCCAGACTCTCTCGGAGGATAGAGTTAAGGAATGTATTTATTCCAGGATTTATTTATAGCCTGTGTAAAGAATACAAACTCCTGTGTAACTAGTGCTCAGGTCATGAAATACCAGTAGGATATCTTCAGAGTCCTCTGGGTGGTCCTTCTAGTTACAGCTCCTTCCCTTCCTACAGAGGTAAGACAGTCCTAACTTCTGCCTTCCTTGCCTTGGTTTTACCACCTACGCATACATCCCTAAACAATGTAGTTTCATTTTCTCTATTTTTGAACTTTACAAAATGGAATCTTCTCCTTTATTTTTTGCTTGTGATTTGTTTCTTTTATGACTTGCCCATTTAATTTATCATTGAGACTCATCCATTTCCCATGTTGAAATTCTGGCCCATTGTAGCTTGAATGTAAGAAGTTCAGGCCATATTGTTTATTAGAAAGACACAATTAAAGAAATAGCCCATTGAAGCTTAAATATAAGAAGTTCAGAGCATATTGTTTATTATAAAAACACAATTAAGAAATAAGGTACCAAAGTATCCTATGCACTTTTATTTTACATCTTTTTAATTATAATTCTATTCTCTCCTATTACATTCCCTAAATCTCTCAGATTCTGATAGCTCTCTTCATTCTCCGTACCATTATGCAGTCTAGGCAGCCACATCTCTGGTTTGCACAGCTATAGCTGTGCCTCCATCAGTTTGCTGGTCTCCTGGCCTCCATCAGTTTGCTGCCTCTAATCCATCCTCCATGTTGCATCTGAAACAATTTCTGAAATGGAATTTTTCTTCTCTCTTTCTTAAAAAAATTAAAAGAAGTACCATTGTCTTTAGTCAGAGATTGCCGTATAACTAGTATCTTACCACAATGAGCATTACTTTTCTTAGTTGTAGGTCTGTGAGTTGGTTAGGTTGGCTCTCTTCATAAAGCTTGAATTGAGTGCACATCTGTTCCATTTCTCTCCATATTGACCTTGGGCTAGTGGCTACCCAAGGCATTTTCTCATGGGGACTTGAGGCTAAGCCATCTTATTGGAATAGCACATCTACAAACATGCCATTGGCTAAAGCAAGTCCCATGGCCAAACCCATCATCAGTTGGTGAAGAAGTATGTTCTGCTCACTCTAGCACACTACAAGGTCACAAGGCTGAGGGAAGGAGGGAGGGAAGAATTGAGAATAACAATCTAATCTTCCACCATTGTTTATAGCAGTTCTTTTTGTTCTTATTAAGTTTGCTAATTTCTTTATTCCCTTATTGACTAGTTCAGTTCTTTTATTTATTTCCATAAAACTATCATGTTAAAATCTCAAAGGGGGATATATGTTAAAGAATATAAGCAGTTGAATTTGTGACCTGGTATTTGAGGAGCTCTGAAATTTGGAGCAAATCATTTACAGGTGACTGTGCCACTTTCCTTGTCCAAAGGAGAATATTTCTAAATGTATCTCTTGAGAATTCTAAGTACATGCAGAGAATAACCTATTAGTCAATAAAGTAGGGTATTAAGATATTCCTAGGTTTCCTTTACTAACAAGGCATGGACAAGGGCAAACTTGGCCTTTGTACCTGTGCCTGTCATCAAGAAGATGTCTCTTATCTCTCAGCTGGGTAGCATAAGCAGTGTTGTTGACCAGGAACATATTGTAACAATAACCTTCATCTTTTTGCTTTGCTGTAGGACATAATGATTATATTTGTCCAGCTACAAATCAGTGCACAATAGATAAGAATCGGCGCAAAAGCTGCCAAGCCTGCCGACTTCGGAAGTGCTATGAAGTCGGGATGGTGAAGTGTGGTGAGTGTTTTGTTCTATGACAATATGTATATGTTCATATACCTGTGTGTGTGTATATATATATATATATATATATATATATATATATATATACACATACATACACATACTTGAAAATTTCTTTATTCCCTAATTAACTAGTGAAAAAACACACAAAGGAAAATGAGCACATTAGTATAACAACTGGAAGTAATGCCTACATTCTGTTCTTTCCACCTGGCTAACTTTTGACTCACTTGTCTGCACACACTTGCTTATTTCTATATACTCATACAAACTCTGCTTGTACTTTCTTACTCTTCTGCTAGCCAAAATTTTGCCTGTGGTTGTGTGTAATTTCTTTCTTTGTAACTATTTAAAAGTTTTAAAACAAATCTCTCTTTTTCTTATCTGAAAATCTTTTTTTTTTAATTTTATTTTTATTGATTTCAGAGAGTAAGGGAAAAGGCGAGGGAGAGAGAGAAACATCAATGATGAGAATCATTGATTGGCTGCCTCCTGCATGCCCGGAACTGGGGACTGAGCCAACAACCCTGGCATGTGCCCTTGACCAGAATCAAACCAGAACCCTTCAGTTTGCAGACTGACGCTCTATCCACTGAGCCAAACTGGCTAGGGCTGAAAATCTTTTAGTAACTTTGTCTCTTTAACATTCTCTGCCCTGTTTTTCTCCATATGTACAACAGATAAGACCCCTCACCTTGTTCAGAATTATAGCAGAAGCTCTCTTAATTTAAGCACAGTTCTCTGGCTTTCCAGAAGCACCGGTGTTTTTTGATTCCTCTGTAAAACATCCTCTCATGCCCATGATCTCCCCGTGTATATGGATACTCTCTAAAACACACGAACATTTCTGCTCCCACCACTTCAGTTATATCTTGTCAGTAACCAGTGGGCTTCTTCCCAAACCTGTTTCTTCTCATCATAATTGTTAAATTTTATAATCTAATGGAAGTTTATGCAAACATATGAAATATGAGTGGGAAAACAATAGTAGTTTCTGTGAAAGCTTTGGATTAAACTATAAATTATAGGATGGATAGTGATTGTGTTAGGTAGGTATGGTGAGATTGAAACCTATAAAGATTCTGAATTCAGATTGCTTTATGAGTGCCTAGGTTTTGCTCTGTTTTAAAGAAGCTGAAACTGAAAATTCAATGTCAGTGTATCATGGGCATGGCTTATGCAGGAAAATAATGTGATTTAGTTGGTAGAGGTGCTTAAAGAGAAAGCCTTGCTTTCTAAAAAAAAAAAAAAAAAAAGCAAATATTTCATGGTTTAAGTTAACAATATTTTAAGTGTATATTTTTAAAAACATGATTTACAATTTAGTCATAGGATCTATTATATACCAGGATCTGTTGAATGGCTGCAGCCTGGTGGGTCAGGACCAGGGCAGCAGCACATGTACACTCCACCTGAGGGGGCAGTGTATGTGGCGGAAAGAACAGGAGGACTCATTCTCATTTTTTTTTTTCCTCATCACTTCTGGTTAACTCTGACTGTGCTCAAATGACTTGACCTTTCTGGCCCTCAGTTTTTTGTTGTTGTTTTTTAATCTCTGAAACAGAGACACCTGTTTAATTGAGTTTTGTGAGGAATATATATGAAATCACAGTCTGGCACTAAATTTTAGTGTTCCTTTCTTCCCCCTCTTTCCCTCCCCCCATTGAAAAATCTCATACGGTTGTGAGTTTGATACAGTACAATCTCATGGCGCAGAGTATAGAGATGTATGTAATTAGAAACTTCCATAGAAAAGAGAATGAGAAAAAAGAGAATTGAATTTGGCCAAAAAGTCTCTGGATAGGGAATATCTAAGAAAAAATATCATTGGAGATTACAGAAGAAATAAGATGGGTTAATGTACAAACAGTTGGATATTTGGCCCTTTACTGACCCCTGAGAAGGAAAATTAGGAATGAATTTTCTAAACGATGTCTCGCTACTTCCCTAGCATTTATCTCATCTATCTTGCCCCCAAACCTCTACCCACATCTTCCTTAATTAGGGATCCTATATACATTCTGGATTCTGCATTATTCCACTTCCCTTTTTTATCCAGGAGTCATGACTCTTCTGTTATCAATTTCTTTCTTCTGCATTTCCAACTCTTTCTTTTCTTTTGAGGTAATTACTATAGTTGTCTAAATGGCAGGAGGATAACCATCAGACTAACTTCAGACTAGCTTCACTATAAGGATACACTGAAATGTAAATAGGGAAACAGTCTGAATAGCCATGTACTTGATCTGTGTTGGGATAAGAGCTCAGCATCTTTCAGATGTCTTTTCGGTATACAGGTGAAATATATATGAAAGAAATTTGATAGGTGATATAAATTAGCGATTTAAAGCTCCAGTTTAGGATGTAGACTACTGATTGGGTTTAGATCCTGCTTCTGGTATTTTCCAGCGTTTATATCTTAGGCGAGTGATTTGCAATCTCCTGTGCCTGGTTATTCCTCTATACGTTGGAGATTGTAGCAGCACCTGTCCTCTAGAGTGGTTGTCAGAATGAGATAATCTATCTACTATAAACAATGTCTAACACATAGAAGCTTACAGTCGATAATCACTGCCATCTGGTAGTTATTATCACTGCCACTTGGTAGTTATTAACTTGACTCATAGGCACATAGAGACTCTGCCAAGACTAAAATGTCACAGTCAGGACACTAGAAATGTTCTTGGTACTAGAAAAATGTGAGTTCCTTGTCAAGGGCTTTGTTTGATTGATCCTAGAATCCCCATAACTTAGTATAGGGCCTGGTACATAAGTGCTTTATCAGTGAAAATTGGTCAAATAAATTTGAATGTATGGATTCAAAACCTTTCACTTTATATGTAAACTCCTTATCCTCATAGGCCTACAAAAAAGAAATGTGTGATCAGAAAGGTACTTTTTTTTTTCTTGTACAAAGTTTTACAAATATCTTCTTTTCCCTCAATTGACCTCCTCCTCCCCCAGCCATTCCCACCCCAGGTAGGCCCCAACGCCCCAGTGTCTATGGTTATGCTAATATGCATGCCTACAAGTCCTTTTTTTATAGAGAGGAAGGGAGAGGAACCAAAATCAAACCTGTGACCCTTGAGTCTGCAGGCCTACGCTCTATCCACTGAGCAAAACCAGTTAGGGCAGAAAGGTACTTTCTTAAACCAAACACTTTGTTCCATTTTACATGAGGGCAATAATTTATCTTAACTGTCTGTAGTACTCTATCTGATTACTAATAAAATGAATGTTAGGCTTTTAATAATTCTTTTAGTAATAAGTTTGATTCAAATATCTCTGAATGGATGGAGTCCTTCTACTACAACTAGCCAAGGATAAGGGGAAAATCATATAAATTTTCATGGGAGCAAATAATTAAAATATTTTCATACTTGCTAATGAACATATTTTTAAAAATGGACAATTGAATTTAGTGAACAAATATAATGGTAATATAGAAACTAGACATTTTGTAGATTTGAACTTTTAGATTTTTTTCTTTTAGGGAAAATTCATATAAAATTATACCCATCCTAATGACATCCTGACTTATATTTTTCTTTATTTTAATTCACATAGGTCTGTAATTAATGTATCTTTATAAATACTTTTGTGTTCAAATTTATAGGCATTTGGAAGTTGTTGATTTCTATTTTTGTTATATTTTAGAGAATATGCTCTATATGAGAACATTTTTAGTTAAGATTTTATTCATGACATAGTATGTGATAATTTTTGCAAATGTCCATGGGGTTTTATAGATTAACTTTGTTCAGTAAGCTGATTTATGAACATTTTCTCCTATATATCAGTGCTGAGAGAGAGTAAGCTGATTTATGAACATTTTCTCCTATATATCAGTGCTGATATTTCCAAACAATTATCAAACAGTACACTTATAAAAGTGTACTGTTTGATAATTGTTTGGAAATATCAGTGTTCATTTTCTAACTTTCTCCCATCTTCTGCTTGATGAAAATTCCTAATTTCATGGTTTGGAAACTGAGATATGTCATCACTCTTTAAAAGAGAAACAGATTTAGTATCCATAGATAACCTTGAAATGGAGACCTTAAGATCATCTGGGCTATTGTCTCTAGAAATTCATGTTTACTGATTTTGCAAATACAGTCATAAATATAAAAATCTTTGGCAGGCTCCAGAAAAATAAGTCGGGCTTCTGTTTATGACACATTCTGAGAATAGAGTCAGATCTTATAATGATGTTACTGACTCATCTTTACCCTGGCTACTCGGGGACCTTGAATGCCGGATTGGGGGAGGGGCAGGGGGAAGCAAGCACTGTTATCTGCTCTCTACTTTAGGCTCCCGGAGGGAAAGGTGTGGGTTCCGCCTAGTGCGGAGGCAGAAGAGTTCCGATGAGCAGCTGCACTGTCTGAACAAAGCCAAGAAGAATGGACAGATGAGCCGAGTGAAGGAGCTACTGTTGAGCGCCCTGAGCCCGGAACAGCTGGTGCTCACGCTCCTGGAGGCAGAGCCACCCAACGTGCTGGTGAGCCGCCCCAGCGCGCCCTTCACCGAGGCCTCCATGATGATGTCCCTGACCAAGCTGGCCGACAAGGAACTGGTGCACATGATCGGCTGGGCCAAGAAAATTCCGGGTAGGGCTCTCTGGGTCTTGGCTTTCTGTATGTTTGTAGAAAGGCCTGCCCCTAACATTTCTGGGGCGAGAGTACAAAGTGGAGGTCCACAAAAGAGGCCTACATATTTAACAGTTTGACAGCTTGATTTATAACCTGTAAATGAAAGAGGCCCTTTCTTCCTAGCTCGACATTTACACCTTCAACATGGCCTAGGTGACAGGTTCCAGTTTAGAATTTTTGGGCTCCTCTGGGTTCTGTACCAGACATGGCAGAGCAGGAAGGCTTGCATAGAGAGGGCCTATTCTATTCTATTCTATTCTATTCTATTCTATTCTATTCTATTCTATTCTATTCTATTCTCAGCTCTTTTTTACCCATCCCCAGCTGCATCCCACCTAGCCATGCGCACACCCAACCCTGCATGTCCACCTGTCCTATGAACACTAGCCTTTGGTCACCTCGCATGCCTTGTTTGGGAGAACAGACCAGGGCAGAGACCAGTCAGACTCTGGAAATTGGCTTGGGGACATTTGGGCAGGAAACTTGAGAGCTTTGGGACGTGGCACATGGTCAAAAAGGGAGGGATCTGGGCTTCACACTGGGCTCCTGGCTGTGGACTCCTCACATTGAGAGGACGGTGTATGCAGGTGAGGTGGAGTGGGTGCAGTGTAACCAGTAAGCAAGTAAAAGGTTTGCTAAGTAGGAATGCTAAGTAGGAATGTGTAAGTTATTGTTCCAGTAGAGAAAGAATTAGTAGTATGTACATGAATAAATATATATGGACAAAGAGAGTAAATTTGCAGCTGAAATAATGTGAATCGTCAGTAAACCTGAAATACCATCAAGTTAAAAATGGGTTTGATGATTCACTACTGGTCATTTAGAGCCTGTATTTTCCAGCCTGGAATGTGATTTCTTCCCCAGGCCTTTGGTACTATATACCTGCAGTACTGCCTTGTACTAAACTACCATCTAATTAGTACTTGAATGAATGAATCTAGACTGGCAGCAACCCATCACCCTCTGAAAGGGCTTCTCCTTACACATCTTTACAGACGTCTAAAAATGAGATCTCTCCAAGTTCTAAGCAACTAGGGACAATTCCCATGGTCTTGGGGGCAGCAACCACACTGGGTGAATTGGAAAGATCGGAAGTGTTAAGAAGCTCGGTGAAGAGCATTTGGGGGTAAAGAGCTGTGGGACCCAGGCCTCGGGTAATAGTATCTCTTGGGATCATTTGTTGGCATTTGAGTTCCCTGAGGATTTCCTAGTTTCCAGTTCTGTTTGATAGTCTAGCATCACCTTTGCCAGAATTATATTATTTTCTCTTCTCTTTCCCATAGGAGACAATGCTGATGCACTTTCCTCTAGCTTTTGCTCTATATGTTTTCCAAACACTATTTCTCAGAACCCCAAGTAGAGAGCAGTGGTGAAATTAATTATTACTGAGGCTCGGGCAGCTTCTTAGTGCCATAACACAACCTAACTTTAATGCTGCATCAGACCCTCTTCAAGCCTGGTATTTTGAAAAGTTTTATAGGCATAGTCTGAAGATGTGATCCCTCTCTCTCCCGGCCTCTCAGCTGATATAGTCATTGTCCAAACAAAAAATAAAAAAATAAAAAAATAAATTAAAATATCACCTAGCCTTGATCTTGTTGAATATCTACAAGTTTAAAAAGCTTGGTCTCCCTTGGTAGGCTTATTGTCTATAACTGTCGGTGAGATCAGAATGTGTACACATCAGAGGAACCTAAATTGAGCTTAGAATGTGACTTTGGAAAGGATATATCCATCTTTCCATTTAGATTTGCATTATAATTGTCAAAGATTTGAACCATAGGGGCTCCCTGTGCCATAGCTTCCTCATCTGTAAAGTGAGGATGATGAAATTGTACCTGTAGGAAATTCTCAGAGGCAGGCATTGCTACCTTTGATGGGTTTATAAGAAAAAAAAAAAAGACTTAAAAGGAGATTAAGTAATTATTTAGGGAGAAGCTGAGGTGGGATTTTTAACTGGAGCCCATTGCACGCCAAGGCAATTTGGGGACTGTATTTATATTACACCATCAGCTCCTTTTATTTTTTTATTTTTATTTTTTAATATATTTTATTGATTTTTTACAGAAAGGAAGGGAGAGACATAGAGAGTTAGAAACATCAATGAGAGAGAAACATCGATCAGCCGCCTCCTGCACACATCCCACTGGGGATGTGCCTGCCCTTGACCGGAATCAAACCCGGGACCCTTCAGTCCACAGGCTGCCACTCTATCCACTGAGCCAAACCAGTTTTGGCACCGTTGGCTCCTTTTATCATGGCTGGTGGAGAAGGCAGCAGCAACTCTGTTTTACTTTTGAAGTGATCAGCTCCCTAGAGATACCTGTTTACTTTCTAGGACTTCGATTAATGCATGCTATCAGGCTATCAGGCTGTTTGGACCTGCTTCAGTTGATATATTTACTCTTCAGCAGAGAATAGCCTAGAGTTAGTGCTCCTACACAGAGAAGAGTGATTCTGAAACTGGAAGGGAAATCTTAAGCACTCGGAAAAATTCTTTCAGTTGAAGCCTTGACTTTCTACAGGGTTGGGCCTACTCTCTTTGCATGCCCCTCACTCTCCCCAGCCCCAGCCCCAATCATGGGCTGGGCCAGACAGGCAGCCCCTCTGGCTGGTAGCCCGAGTTATCTTTGTCAGCAGTGCAGGGCAGTTATTGGGATACAGCCAACAAAGATTGGTCCCAGCTTTCTGTTCTTTACTAGCATCTGTCTGGGGAGCTGTATACACCCAGCTAGCAGTCCATTATAAATTATAAATGAAGTATATGTATCCCTAGAAGGGGTTCTGGACTGAAAATTGTGAGTTGCACACCTTAAGTTCAAAACTTTTTATTAGGTCAGCATTTAACCACATCTTTAAAATATAGATTGTTTCCTTATATTGGTGTTTTCAAAGCTTTTGAAAAGCTGCTCTTCTGTTCTTAGAGAAATAGGGAGCCACGGAGGAGGGCGGGTGTGTCTCACGGCTTCTCGCTTTCCCCAGGCTTTGTGGAGCTCAGCCTGTACGACCAAGTGCGGCTCTTGGAGAACTGCTGGATGGAGGTGCTAATGGTGGGGCTGATGTGGCGCTCCATCGACCACCCTGGCAAGCTCATCTTTGCTCCAGACCTTGTCCTAGACAGGTGAGAAAAAGTGCATTGTTTCTTTTCTTGATGCCTTGAGTGAAGCATCGAGTCCTGGGGCTACAATTAAAATCTTTCACCTGAAGGGCAGTTAAGAGGATTATAATGTCATGAGCTCCTTCACTGGGTCAAGAACCAGAAAAGGAGAGAATGGGTACAAAGATTCGGTGTCCTATAACTCATTCTTTTTTTTCTTTTCTTCTTTTTTTTTTTAATATATTGTATTGATTTTTTTTACAGAGAGAAAGGGATAAGGATAGAGAGTTAGAAACATCAATGAGAGAGAAACATTGATTAGCTGCCTCCTGCACACCTCCTACTGGGATGTGCCCGCAACCAAGGTACATGCCCTTGACCGGAATCAGACCTGGGACCTTTCAGTCCACAGGCCGGCGCTCTATCCACTGAGCCAAACTGGTTAGGGCTATAACTCATTCTTAGTGTGGCAGCCATAATAGGGGCCTATATTCTGCAGGGTATGTGGCCACCAAGTGTATATAAATCAATTTAGATTTTTCTGCTTAAAAGTTCCATTTTCAGGTAATAATTTTAAGTTGTCCTGCTGTTCTTTCTACCTGTCAGGGCCAATTACATTGCCAGCTGTCTGGATAGGTGATAAAATTCTTACAATTTGCCAGGATCATTGTAACATTATTTAACTCATTTTAATTGCTTATACTATACTAGGGGCCCGGTGCACACAATTGGTGCACTGGGCCCCTAGTATATTGGGAGTGGACCTAAGCCGCAGTCTGGCTTCCCTTTGTGGGAGGTGACCAGGCTGATCAGGGGAAGGTGCCAGCCCCATCACCCCACTGCTGCAGCAGCCACTGCAAGTCACCACAGCCACCAAGGTGTTTTCATCAACTCCAGTCCCTTCACCTTGAAAAAAATGGGACCCCTGGGGGGATGTCTGACTGCTGGTTTAGGGCCAATCCCAAGGGCCTAAACCAGCAGTCGGACATCCCTCTTATAATACAATCCTGCACTGCTGGTTCCTAATTGCTCACCTGCCTGCCTACCTGGTTGCCCCTAACTGTCCCCCACTGACAGCCTGATCACGCCTCACTGTCTCTGCTTGCTGACCTGATCACCCCTAACTGCCCCCCTGCTGGCCTGGTCACCCCTAACTGCCCCCCACTGCAAGCCAAGTTGCCACCAACTGCCTCCTCCCTGCTAGCCTAGTTGCTCCTAATTGTCCCCCCTCCACCAGCCTGGTCACTCCTTATTGTCTCCCTACTGGCCTGGTCGCCCCCAACTGTCCCTGTCTGCCAGCCTGGTCGCCCCTAACTGCCCCCCTCCCCAGCTGCTGGCATGGTCACCCCCAATTGTCCCCCCCACCAGCCTAATTGCCCCTCAGTGACCCCCCTGCTAGCCTAATCGCCTCCAACTGCCCTCCCTGACAGCCTGGTCACCCCCAATTGCACCCCCCTGCCGACCTGGTCTCCCCTCCCTGCCCCCCTGCTGGCCTGGTCGTTCCACACAGCCTGCTGTACAGTTGTTTGGTTGGCCCTAACTAATTCTGTTGCCGGCCTGGTTGACCCACACAGCCTGCTTGTTCAGTTGTTTGGTTGTCCCTCACTAACCCCCCCTGATGGCCTGGTCGTAGGCAGCCATCTTGTGCATATTACTTCTTTATTATATAGGATGAGTACACTTTCAGAAAGTCTCAGCTGGTTGCAGAAGTTGCCATTTTTGCTTGCCAAAGTGAGCAGTTTGCATGCTTGTAGCTTTGTGAGTCTGGGGTTAAGAGGTTTCGAATGCTGTGGATTGCAGGGTCCTGGTGAGCTGCTGTCCTAGCATAGCACTGTCCAGGAAGGGCTTCCCCAGGTTTGGCAGTATCCACTGGTGTCTGTTTGTTTGAATTCTACAGAGGCCCTTCCTCAACCACCACCATCCCTGAAAATGGCCTAGCTTGGGGTTGGTAGGAAGGAAGAGGGGAATAGCCAGTTCTTTGAAGATCTCAAATCTCCCCAGGGTTGCCTCGGAGACTGAAAATGAAACTCAAAGAAACCCATGGCTGCCCTTTACTGTTTACCACAGGTTTTTAGAAGCAAATGAAACTTTTATAGCACAATCATCTAACTGCTTGTCAAGGACTTCCAATAACTCTTACGACAAATAATGATAGAAATTTTTTGGGAGCAGTGAGGCAGAATAATATGTGTCTGGCTAGAGTTAATTGAAGCTGGTATTTTCTGGATACAGTTGAAGTAATTTATTTCAAATATATACTTAAAGAATCATTTCTTTAAGGAGTGCTCAAAAGAATTTTGATTATATGTTTCCAAGTTTGTCTAAAACTGTTGCTTAAAAATCATCTTTGGCAAGTCAGACATTTCCATGTCTCCCTCTCTGCCTTTTCTAATTGTGATTTCTTTGTATGTCATGCTGGCTTTTCTTGAATTACATTTACATGTCTCTTAGTTGCCCCTCTAGTTTCCAAATAACCAACAGAAAATGAGAGTTAATTCCTAGGTATGAAGGGTCATTTCTTCTTGGGATATTAACTTCTGTAATGATCAGTCTTCCTCATGAACACGTTAGAGCCATCTCATGGGCCATGGAATGTCTCACTTCATTAATATGTGTCATATCACAGACTGGTTGGCTGAAATGGTTTAGATTACCAACAAAAATGTTATTCCTAAGATAACATTCATGAACAGGTAGAAGAAAAATGTAGTTCCAATGCAGGCTTTTGCCTAAATAGTATTTACTCAAGTGTTTAATTTAGGGATTTATAGGAAATTCCCAGTTCTCTTTATAAGAAGATGATTCTGATAATTTTATATTGCTGGGTTTGGTCTCATCGCCACCATGTTATAGTTAAAGCATGTACAAAATGAAATTAAAAAAATATATATATATTCTATTGAGTTTTTACAGAGAGGAAGGGAGAGGGATAGAGTTATAAACATCGATGAGAGAGAAACATTGATTAGCTGCCTCCTGCACCCCCCACTGGGGATGTGCCCACAACCAAGGTACATGCCCTTGACCAGAATTGAACGCGGGAGCCTTCAGTCTGCAGGCCGACGCTCTATCCTCTGAACCAAACCGGTTTCAGCAACAAAATGAAATATAAGATTAAAAAGAAAATACTCCTTATTGCCTTTGTTGGTCGCTGTGATTTTCTTAAATTTCCAAATGAACTATTGTAGGGATGAAGGGAAATGTGTGGAAGGAATTCTGGAAATCTTTGACATGCTCCTGGCAACGACTTCAAGGTTTCGTGAGTTAAAACTCCAACATAACGAGTATCTCTGTGTCAAGGCCATGATCCTCCTGAACTCCAGTGAGTAACCCACAGCTGGGCCATGTTTTATTGGGAAGGGGAACTGGGGGTGGGAGGGGTGGTGGTGGTGAGGAATGCTATTTTTAGATGAGTATTGAACTTATGATTTTATTTTATTTTTTTATTCATTTTTTTCGTTCTTTTTTTTGTTTCTGAACTTCTTATTTTATTTAAAAAGGGGGGAATGGCTTTCTCTCTGACTTCTCTGTTTTATTTGATAGGGATTTAAACTGTAATTAACTTGAATATAAATTGTTCATTGGGCAAATTACCAATATTAATTTAAAAACTGGCTCAAGCCACTTTGCTGGAAAAGATAAAAATGAACTTTAAAATGTTTACCATTCAGCCTTTTTCAATATTTATGCAGACACTGTAAATGTTGACATGCATTTGTATTTTCTGTTTTGAGTTCTCCTTTTACAGATTCATTTGTTCATTCATTGGTTCACTCAGTAAAGATGTTATAAATATAGTCCTGCCTTCAGGTAGCTCATGGTGGAGCGAGAGAGTGCTATAATAAAGTGTGTACAGAGCACTACAGGAAAACGAGAGATGCTGGAGTGCCTGTAGAGGGGATGCGGTTTGCATGAGTCTTTAGGGATGGGCAGGTGGAAGAAATAGGTGTGGAGGAATGAAAGGACCCGGGCCAGCCAGGAGCTGCAGGTCACTCAGTGGCAGAGCAGAGGGAGGTGGACAGGGCTGAAGACTCACTGACTGCCTTGGGCTGGGAAATGCTGCCTGGGGCATCGAGCAGCTCTGGAAGAGGTTTGGATGGGAGTATCATGGACAGGGCCTTCTTGAAAGGTTACCCTGGCTTCCACGTGGAGGATTGACTAGAGACCGAGGCATGGTGCCCAGTCAGAGTGGAGAGGGACAAGGATAGACTTTTTCTACCCCAACACCAAGTAATTAATCTTAACCATAGGGTTGACTTTGTACTTTCTCCCATTTTTTAATAACAATTTAAAGTAATACTACACAGCCTTGGCTGGTATGGCTCAGTCCATGGCTGTGAGTATTATTCACAGTTAGGGCACACACACAGGTTGAGGGTTCGATACTCAGCTGGGGTGTGTATAGGAGGCAATTGATGTTTCTCTGGTTCTCTCTGCCCCTCATTTCCTCCCTCTCTAGAATTAATGAAAAAAACATCCTTGGGTGAAGATTAAAAATAAAAATAAATAAAATAATACCTCACTTCTTACATATACAAAAATAGACTTTTCATTTAAAAAAATTGTGCAACTATATAAAATAGTTCTCTGTATCTTGCTTTTTTACTTGTCAAAATGCTATGAAATCCCTTCATATCAACTAAGAGAGAGCTAAGTTAATCTTTCCAGTGAGGGCTTTGTCTAAATCAGCAGTCGCCAGCCTTTTGGACCTCACAGACTGCCACTGGTCCGTGGACCACCGGTTGGCAACCGCTGGTCTAAATTGTTCAATCACTTCTCTGGCGACAAACCTTTACTTAATATACAGTTCCTTTTTTTTCTCTCTATTATAAATACTGCTCCAATAGAGATGTGTTATTTTGCACACTTTTCTAAGTTCGCATATCATTTTCATACTGTTCAGTTTACTGCCTACCTGGTATTTACTTGGTCCACCTGCCATACCTGGTATGGATTGCTTTGCTTAGCTATTTATTCTTAATTGGGCCTTTTGTTATTATTTCTTCTTTCCCAAATGATATATACGTACAAAGTTTTAATCATCAACTAAGGACTTATGGATCCTTTCCTTTGGGGTTTTATTACCTAGATTTTATCCAAGCTTAGTGTTTAATGTTTGAAATAAAAGGAATTTGTGAGATCATATTATGCCTCTTTATTTTTTATGTTCAATGGTCCATGCATTCATTGTATGTATATGTATGTATGTATGTAGGTATTTAATTGATTTTATTGGAGTGAATTTATTTACAAAACCATACAGGTTTCAAGTATACAACTCAACAAAACATCTACACAGGGCATCATGCGCCCATGGTCCAAAGCAAAGTCTCTTTCATCCCCATTTATCCCCATTTTTTCCACCCCTACCCCCCTTTCCCTTTGGCTGTCACCACACTGTTACCTATGTGTTATGTGTTATGTATATGTGTTACACTGTGTCTATGTGTTATGTATATGTGTCTTTTGGGTAAACCCTTCCTTTTCTTTTATCTAGTCCCACAACCCTCCCTTTTGACAACTATCAGTCTGTTCCATGTAATCATGCCTCTGTTTCTATTTTGTTCATTGGAGCCAAAGCAGCAGTACCTGAAGGCAAAACTGAACAAGATGCTGTTGAGGAGATTACTGGACAGGGATGGGTGGGGTTAGGTCTTGAAGAAGAGAAAAGACAAGAGTAGACAAGGAATCTGAAAGTCATGTGAGGCTCAGAGGCCCTGAAGACAATTATTGGGTGTTTTCTTCTTGGGTAAACTTGGTCTTACTGCATGCCCCTTGAACCTACCTCAGTTCTGGAAAGCAAGCAGTTTGTGAATAGAAAAGATAAATTATTGGACAAATGAAAACTGTAGAGAAAGTTAAGAAGACTCCTAAATGCTTTGGCTTCTGGTACTTTCTTGACATTTATTGTCTCTATTCACCTTTTATAAAACAAAGGCCCAGCTTACACCCGCAATTAAGTTGATGTGCCTATAGGAAATGACCAGCTGGGACATTTAGAATTGATCATGGGAAAAAAACACACTTTTTCTGGTCTCTGTCAACCTACCTATAGATATCACTTGACTGTGCTGCCACTTCTGTCTTTGTTAAAGGGAAGATTTGCTTGAGAAGTATGGTCCCACGTTGGCACAGGAGGAACAGCCACTGCCACATTCTGGGGCTTCTCTTATCTACAGGAATTGTTTAGAACTCATTTCTGCACAGCAAAGTGCTCCTCAGAAAGCAGTTTCCTTGTTGTTATAATACTTTGCAGTATTTGAAAGCCTTCTGTTTGGCAAAGCTCCTTACGGTCCTTCTATCCTGTGAAACATCATATTGTGTTGTTGTGAAAGCTAAAAGCATCATCTGTGCAAATGGGAGACTAAGGCTACGGCATCCCTGCAGCATCTGACAGACTGTCACATTTGAGAGAACTACAGCGGGTGAGGCAGGCATGTGATGTAATTACCACTCGTGGCAGTAAATGACTAGCATTTGTTTATGGTAAATCCAAGTTTAAGAAATCTCCCATTAGGAAAGTTCTTTCCTTGTTTGGTAGTAGTCACAACAGTTGTCAAGATGAATTTAATCTGTTCAGCCCTTAGAAAGTGGGATTCTGTTTCTACTGGAAAGTTTCCACTGTTAGGAGAGGTGGGTCTTTCCTCTGCTAGGTTTTAGACATCTGGAGGTAGAGGCTTTTTTCTTCTGGATTATTTGTAACAAATTAAAAGCATAAGCAAGGACAGAGTCTACTTTCTCTCCTTACATTTTAGCAACTCAGAATGTATGAAGCAGACATTGAAGCTGGCGTCAGTTTTAAAACTATTGTTTCCATATTTTCATTTGATTACTAATTGTCTATGGTATACCTAACATGTGCATTAGCATGCATATTTATCATGTCAATTATTATGGTGTGATTGGCTAAAAATTGCAAATATTTGAACCTATGGGATTCATTCTAATTCTTGCATTTATGAGCATTTCTTTCCCACCAGTCATTGCACTAGGTGATGGGTTTGTGCTTTTGAAGCGCTTATGTCCAATTTCTTTAAGGGTGGGGCATATATGAAGACATCCAGCTTTCAGATCAGGGGAAGCTTCCAGAAGGAAGTTCAAGCAAGCTGGGATCTGAAGGAGGAATGACTATAGATAACAAGAGAAGGGAGAGAGGAGGGTGGTAAGAGAACTCCTAAGCAGAAAGTGTGGCATGTTCAGGGCATCACCTGTTCAAGGAAATGGAATTAAGTTTCACGGTGAGGTGTGGTGGGAGCTGAGGATGAGAAGAGAGGGAGAGCCTGGTGCCCTGCAGAACTGTCCCAGTTGGCCTCAACCCCGAGGGCAGATCTGATTTTGGCCATTCAAAGGGACACGTTGGGTTGAGGTTGGGGCTTGTTTCCTCTGCAGTGGAAGGTTATGTGCTGTGGGGGACAGTGGGAGGACTCAGTCCCTGTGGAGAAGGAGGTGGGTGAGCAGGTGTTAGAGAAGCAGTTCCAGGTAGTTTAAAAAACGGATATTTTAAATCTGCATCAGGAGACATTATGGAGGGATGTGCTACAGGGATGTGGTGAAGCACTACACTTGTATAATTGTGGTTCATTATGTCCCTTGCCTTAATTGAACTAAGTTGCCTTAATTAGACTGAAAATGTCAATAAAAATAGAGAACAAAAATTGCCAAAACAGATTTGGTGGGTGATGGAATACCATCCATCCTTCATTCTCATTACAGTCAAAAGTTGGCATTTCCCCTGTTGGTTTCATGTTTGAAATTGAAAATCTGGAAGAAAAGCTAGTTATTTTCCTGCTTCCAGGAATTAGGGAGTCAGAGGTTGGGGATGGGGTGGAGTGGAGGGAAGGAGATCTACTTGGGTTGCTATTTTGCAACCTTTGGGAGGCCAAAGTATCTCAGATCCTAACACCAGAGGGGAATTAAACATAGGGCATCTGATGGGAAGGTTGTGGAGACCTCAGCAGACATGTGTCTGCAAGCTTTGCTCACTGAGGAGGTGAGGTTGGAGGAGCTGGGAAACTGGTTTGGGGTCAGAGCTACAGACAGCAGATATAAAGTAGGTCTGTTGACTTCAGACTGGTAGTCTTCCTGTCCCCAGCAAGGTGCCACCAGAGGCTGGATGCTGATAGCTTGCACAGAGCCAGATGGCGGCAAGCCTATTGGGACTGTCTGCACATGGCACACATAGAGGGGCTGGGCGGGAGAAGCTATGTAGCAGTGGTTAGCAGTCTATGTTTATTAAACTCCCCTAATGAAGAGCTCTCCAGGGGCTAGGAGTGTACTCACTTTCTCACCATCTTTATATGTATACTAGAGGCCCAGTGCACAAAATTTGTGCACTGGTAGGGTCAGTAGTGGCTGCCGTCTGGGTAGTCCCTCCCTTCCCCCCTGCCAGCCCTGCCCCCTGGTCAAACTCCCATACGAACTCCTGGGTGAGGGGGCAATTTGCATACTATGCTTTTATTATATAGGATTTGTTCATGCAAATGACAATACCATATAATGGTTTGATACATTTTCAAGGCAAGGCCACAATGCTGGGCCAAATTCAGCCAGGTTTACTCTTTCCATTCAGCCATGGGGCTGGCTCTTAGGGCACCACTATTCATGCAGATGTCAGAACCCATTTGATCATTGTCCTTCTTTCAGGAGAATGTTGGCATGCCTAATGCCTGAGCACACAACTTCTGTTTCCTTTTCGCAGAGCAATGAGTCATGGCCTTGATTCTTTGTCTAGGTATGTACCCTTTAGCTGCAGCAACTCAGGAGGCCGAGAGCAGCCGGAAGCTGACTCACTTGCTGAATGCTGTGACCGATGCTCTGGTCTGGGTAATCGCCAAGAGCGGCATCCCTTCCCAGCAGCAGTCCGTCCGCCTGGCTAACCTCCTGATGCTCCTCTCTCACGTCAGGCACGCCAGGTACCATCCGTAAGGGACCTTCCCCCTGGGTTTATGGCGGGAAGGGGGCATATGTTCTGAGGGTGAAGAGCTTTGGGTTTTCAAGTTTGAGGTGGATAAGGTAGAATTGTGGCCTTTAAAGGAAGATGAAGCCCTGAAAGGGAATGGGGGTTCTTCATCAGGGCACATCCCTGTAACCAAAGGTCAGCACGTAGTGGGCACCGAATGACTGTCATGTGGCTCCTTACAGGATCTTTATGGTATCCTGTGGTGGCTCATCTAATACTTAGTTGCTGGGGATTTTAGCCTGTTTATGGAGTTCTAAAAGGGGCAGGTTCTTCCTTAAAGTGAACTGCCACCTATCCCTGCACCACCTAGGGCTGGAGTCCCCAGGTCATTTCCTTAAAGAGGTTAAACCCAGCTTTCCTAGAGCGACTCTTGAGATCTGTGATCTGGGGAAGTGCACAAAGCCCTCCCTGAGAGCTGTTCTTTCCTTGCGATGGCACCAGGACATAAGGATGAGGCCTAAGAGAAGTGGTGAGCCCACAGTTCTTTGCAAGGCAGGGTGGCGGTAATGCTGTGTGATGTCCCATGGTGGCTTGCCCTGGAGCTGGAAGAGGGGAGATAAGGAGGAAAGTCTAGGGGCCGTGGGGAGGAACACATGCCCCTCAAGGATGTTAACAAGGGTTAGGACATGAGAACAGCCTCTGCCTCTGTTGAATGATCATTCTGTTCACAACCATTTGCAGAACAGATAGAGTCTATCATAATTCCAGTTTCTGTATTTGCGAATTTGCCCACTTGCTAAACTTTATTTGTAACCTCCCAAATTGATTACTCATGGCACTTGCGTGATCATTTGGGGACAGTCACAGAATGGCAAAACATTTGAGTTGCCTGTGTTTATATTCCCAGCTGAGGTCAACCAAGGTCATGCTCTGCCTTCTTCACACTGCAACAAGTGTTCCTCATGTGGCCTATTTAGTGTCATGTGTTTGCATTTTTGTGGTTGGAGATTTCATTGTCCACAAATGGCCTCCATGCACAGTACCATAGTGCCATGTAGTGTTCCTTAGGCTCTCAGGACCCTAATCCTGCATTTCCCTCAGGAGCAATGGTTCGGCATCCTGCCAACCCAGTGTCTAGTGACTATAGAGTGTAACTACCATGAATAACGAGCATCGATTGCATGCTGTACCAGGCACTGCCAGGCCATTGTGGGTGGGTGATGGGACACAGAGGTCACAGGACATTGTCCTCGCCCTTGAGTGTAGATTATTGAAGGAGCCAGATGCAAGAGCCATAGAACAGAGGGCTCAGAGTGTCTGAATGTATGAGACTTACATTGAGTTCCTGGGGCTGAATCACAGAACAGAATCTCAATACCTTCTTGTCCCCATAGCAACAAGGGCATGGAACACCTGCTCAGCATGAAATGCAAAAACGTGGTGCCAGTGTATGACCTGCTGCTGGAGATGCTGAATGCCCACACGCTTCATGGATGCAAGCCCTTGGTCATGGGGTCTGAGTGCAGCCCAGTAGAGAAGAGTAAGAGCAAAGAGGGCTCTCAGAACCTGTCTCAGTGAAGCCCAGCCCTGAGGTGAACGGCTGCAGAGGTAGCGGCTGAAGCGTGAGCTCTCGTGCGATTGTGAGCCCCATCGCGATGGGCTTCGTCTTTCTGTGTGCTCCCTCCCCCGTCACAGTGGGTTCGGTCTGTACCATCCTCTCCCGACCTCCCTATTCCCAGGAGTTGGGTGGGAAAGCCAGTTTTCCTTGTTACCTGGGGCGCGTTGGGATGCATTTTGTCTTGCTGGGCCTCACAGGATATCAGCATGGTCCCTGTTTTAGATACTTTCCATCTTTTCCCCACCTCTTTGGGAAGAACGTCTTGGCGGTTTTGCAGTGCATGTGGGAATCTGGCCTGGAAGGGTTAAGAGATCGTGACACTTGTAGGAAGTAGACTAACCTTTATTGTGTGAACTAAGCTGCCTTTCAGGATAGACCTTTGTAAGCTCTCTCAGGACCACCTGATTGTAGGGCTGAAAACCACCTGCCTCCCAGGCCTGGGAGGACTGATGTCAGCGCTGTTCTACTGAAGGACAGAGGGACTGTGACTAGGGAGCCAGTGCTCCAGCTAGGATGGGAGCCAGGTTCTTCCCCAGACCTTGCTGCCCTCTTCCGTCCCTCCTGATGCGCATTCAGAGAGCCTGCTCCTTATGTGTGCATGTGTGCGTGTGTGTGAGATCACATTCATGAGGACTGTGGAGATTTAAATCTCTCTGCCCCTGGAGTTGCCCTTCCATAAAACTCTCTTGTCCCAAAGGGCCCAGTGTATGTGCTGGGGAAGGTGCTATTTGCAGGAATAGGGGTCTATCCTATGGGTATTGGTGGCAGCACAGTCACCCAGAGGCAGGACTGTGTGTGTGCCAGGCACCCTGTCCCAGGGAAGGGTGAACAACCAGTGTGTCAGGATCAGGGTCAAACTGTGCCGACTTGAACAAGACCTGGTTTGTGAACTCAAAGGAGAGAATAATTGCTTAATTATAGCAAGAAGGAATTCTTTACACCCTAGGGCTCTTTTAAAATATTTTCTTATCAGAATATTTATACAGTGGACTGGGTGAAATAGAAATATCAGAGTATTTATATGGTAGCCTGGACGAAATGGAAACTTAGTAAAATATTAGTTTTTATTCCAAGCACAACATAAATAGGACATGATGATAAGGCACCTCAAATTACAATTTTAACTTACTTTTTAATAATGGAAATTTTCATACCAATTTTCAGGAACAGAGTGAATACATAAAATGAGTTACATCTATGTTTTGAAAATGAGCAATTAAATAATCATGTGTGATTTTTGTGGTTTCAAAAAATTACCTTGTGATATGAGATTAAACACATTTTCTTTTTGAAAATAGGTTTACTGTGGCTAGCAGGCTCTGTGTTTACTAAGTCATTAGAATAATTCAGTGATATAAAGGTTGGTTTCTGCTGGTGAGACCTTGAATACATCTTAATTTTGATATTGGTGCATCTTTACTAAAAGTTGAGAACTGTTTCGGAAACACTGCGGCATATATCTAGAGAACACATCATTGTCTGTATTCTGAGGTGGTCTGAAATTATTCTTAATGACTCAATGTTACACAGCCTCAGTGAGTTCCAATACAGAAAATAAGCTTGATTGTTTAGGGACAGGGAGCCAGTGTTGTCCAGGTCAATTTTACTTCTGAGTAACTTAGAAGCCCCATGACAAATAGAGGGGGATGGGAGGCAAAGAAGATAGCCTGGCGTTGAACAATTCTTTGCCGATGAAATTCTCTTAATTATATTTATAAAAGAGATAACGGGTTAAAAGCAAAACAAAACAACAAAAAACAGAATGAGGTAATGGAATGAAGGCCTTTAGGTTGATTATTGATGCCTAAGGAAGGCCCTGGGCTGGACTCATGTCTAATGAAGCACCTTTCTGTGCCATGCCTGTGCTGACCCAGACTCACCAGTGCCCACGGCTCCCTGTTCACAGATACTCCTGCATGCTTCTCGAGGCTTCCCCTCCCATTGCATTGGGACTCAGCGCCTCAGGGGGATGTGCCATCTTGGTAACTTCTTGGCTCAGGCCTCACTTGCGTGTGCTGGGGACACAGGTTATTTAGTCCAACCTGAGAGGCCTGCGTGGTGCTGGGTCTGGGCCAGGTAGGCTGTTGAGATAACATGGTCTATAGTTTAAAGTTTTTTGTCTGTTTTAATATTCAAGGGCATTTCCCCACTTTCAGATGAAGTGTTTTGAGTCTCTATGCCATCTGCTCCAAAAATATCCTTCGGTCATTTCTAAGAAGAACCAGTGTGCAAGATCAGGATGCCATTTTTACATGTTTTGGGTAAACTCCTCAATGTCCATTTTATTTTATTTTATTTTAAAATATATTTTTATTGATTTTTTTACAGAGAGGAAGAGAGGGATAGAGAGTTAGAAACATCGATGAGAGAGAATCATCGATCAGCTGTCTCTTGCACACCCCCTACTGGGTACGTGCCCGCAACCAAGGTACATGCCCCTCACCAGAATCGAACCTGGGACCTTTCAGCCCGCAGGCCGATGCTCTGTCCACTGAGCCAAACCGGTTTTGGCTCAATGTCCATTTTAAAGATTTCATTTTAATAGCACTTTCTTTTTAAATGTCTTTTTGCAGGATATCCATCCCCCAAAATGGTCCATGGACAACTTAAAATTCTCCCATAGATATGCAAGGGTTTCAGTGTTTTCAAGTTCAGTCTTTAAAAGGAATTAACTAAGGCAGGGGTGGGGAATGTCTGGCTTGAGGGCCATATACAAGACCCATAAAATCGTTTGGTCTGGCCTTGGCAAGGCATTCGGCATGAATTAAATGTTTGACCAAATATAGCTGGCTAATTTTTAAGCTGATAATTTTGTATGGCCCACAAATGATGTTATAAATATCCAAATGGCCCAGAAAAAAGGTTTCCTATCCGTGAGCTAGCGAGAGTGGGAGCTGACAACTATCAACAGGAATTGAGTATTGAAAAACAAAAACCCACCCAACTACACTTTAAAAAAAATCTTCACCTGAGAACATTTGATTTCTAGAGAGAGTGGCAAGGGAAGAGGAGGGATAGAGAGAAACATCCACACAAGAGAGACACATCAGTTGGTTGCTTCCCACATGTCCTTTGGTTCTCGAGTTGATGCTCTAACCAGTAGCAAAACCAGCTATGGGCCCAACTACACCTTAATGTGTGATGGAACAGTGATCCACTGTTTTGATATTTAAGTCTTTTAATATGAGAAACCAATTTTGTGGGAATGAGTGAGATTTGTGCTTATTTCCAAACATGAATGTCTAATATGGAGTCATATAGACAATTTTCAATTATGTAATTACTATGGACTATTCTCAATACAGAGCATATTAGGACAGTGTTCACTCAGGTTCCTCGGAGAGAAGTGGCAGTGCCTGAGGGGGACTGTGTGGGCACCCAGGGGCTGCGCTGTGAGTTTTCACACATTGCTCTAACTGCACTCCCTCCCAACTCATCATACCACCTCGGTCTGGCCTGTCACATGCTTGTTATCCATCAGGACTCTCTACAAACACCCCTAAGATAATTTTAAAGAGTTTTTTCCTGAAACATTGAAGTGGGAAAAGAGGATTATCATTTGTCAGCCTAATAAGAACAGGTCTGGAGGCTGTTAAAAAACAAAATTCAAAAAAAGCTCTGCAGTGAGATCACCTTTATTTGAATTATTTCCCTGCTTGCTCAGCTGGAAGGACAATTATTTTAGATGTCAGTAAAAAACAATCAGTTTCCAAGTCTTGGCAGAGCTATCCTATCTAATAAAGAGGTAATAATGCAAATTGACCATCACTCCAACACAAGATGGCCGTCCCCATGTGGTCAAAGATGGCTGCCACAAGATTGCTGGCAGGGGAGGGCACTTATGGGTGATCAGGCCTGCAGGGGAGGGCAGTTAGGCGACCAGACTGGCAAGGGAGAGCAGTTGGGGTGACCAGACTGGCAAAGGAGGGCAGTTAGGAGTGACTGGGCCAACAGGGGAAGGAAGTAGGGGGCAACCCGGCCTGCAGGGGAGGGCAGTTAGGGGCAATCGGGCCAGCAGGAAACTCGTTAGGGGGTGATCAGGCTGGCAGGCAGAAACGGGTAGGGGCAATTAGGCAGGTGAGCGGTTGGGTGCCAGCAGTCCTGGATTGGGAGAGGGATATCCCAGATTGGAAAGGGTGCAGGCTGGGCTTAGGGATGCCCACCCCAATGTATGAATTTTGTGCACTGGGCCTCTAGTATTACATATTCATAGATATAAGCCATTTCCTAGCATGTGAGTTTGTATTTAAATTTGTTACGGCACTTGCATATGTTGACACCTTTTCAAGGTAAACCTTGCATTTCTAGGTCTATTTTGAAACAAAACATTTTTAAAAATAATATTTGATGCATTTCTCTAAGCACTAAAAATCTTTTAAAAACATAGTAAAGGTTATGTGAAAGAAATTGCAAAGATACATCATTTAGTACCTTAAAATATTTGAGCAACACTTACTGGGTGCCAGACATAGTTCTCAGTGCCTCATAGCAATTACCATTGTCCTCTCTTTTTGGCAGTGGAAGCCAGAGAGAATAAGCAAACTTGCTCAATGTTACTCAGGGAATAAGTGACAGAACTGAATGCAGGCCATGCCATTTAACTAGTTAAAAGGAAAACTAAGGAAGAATGTATTTAGACTGCAGAATCCACTCATTAAAAGCGACCTGACAGTCATGGCCTCTCTGATTTGGGTGGGGCCTGCTTGTGGCGAGGTGGCCTCAATTTCTGGAACACCCTTATAGATACCAAGTTCCACCCGTCTTTTATACATTGTAAATTAAAGCCCAGAGGGGTAAACTGACCTGCTCAAGGTCAATAAACCTACATCTGGCAAAGCTTAGGTCAGATTTCATCTTCTGGTTAGCATGGTCCCTGCTACAGGACTTGATTCTGAAGTTTCGGTGTGTAAGGAAGAGATGGCCGTTACAATTGCCTTTAGATTCTACGAACTTTTACAGAATAGCACTTTTTTTTTAAAAAAAAATTTATTTCAGAGAGAAAAGGGGAGGGAGAGATAGAAACATCGATGATAACTATTGACCAGTTGTCTCCTGCACGCTCCCTACTGGGGATCGAGCCCACAACCCAGGCATGTGCCCTGACTAGGAATCGAACCTGAGACCCTTCAATCTGTAGGCCGATACTCTGTCCACTGAGTCAAACTGGCTAGGAAGGGCCAGAATGACAGGTGGAAAAAATAAGATGCATTTTGTTATTCTGTTTCTCCCATCCGGGCTCATCAGCTAGTAGGTAGTACTGCCCTCACCTCCTTTCATCTGTTACTGCTTTCCCCAGTGCAGTTTCTTGGAATTTACCAGTTTACGCATGTAAAATTCTCACATCTTCTAGGCACTGATGCTTCCCTGTGGAGTTTGGGTTCCTGTAGTGTGAAACACATGCTGCTTCTTTGTAGCTCTCCACGCTTCTGGAATTTGGGCTGTAGTGGCAGCTCTAAAGATACGTGTTCTTTGTGATATGTGACCTTAGAACCCTTTTTCTTGCTTTGGAGTGGAGGCTCCCATTCATTTGTGGGCCAGACACTGCTAAGTGATGTGGGTTTCCTCGATGGCTTGCGATGCCGGCACAATACAGCGCCCGTTACCCGCACAGCCTCTGCGCCTGCAGGTGTTCCTCTGCGCGGGGTCTGCCGCTGCGGCCCAGTCTTGTCACCTCCCTTAGTGGCCCTGTGTACCTGAGACAGTTGGCTATCATTGTCATTTTTTTCAGGTGAATGCTTTGTACCATTAGTGGGCTTTTAAATTTGGGCCTTTTTACAAATGTTTGCTGTTGTGTGAAAGAAGATTTTGAGATCTGCTTTCTGCTCCTCCAGGTACTGCTTTTTCTTTGCCGTGTCCCTTGACTGTCTATGGCACTGTTGCAGAAAGAAGTTTAATGTCACATAAGCTAAATAAAATGTTTTTTCATAATTTTGGCTTTAAAACTGTATTTGTTGGGAGTTGAGCATAAGGATTTTCAGGGATTAGGCTAAGCAGTGTTCCCATTCTCTTCTGAATTCTATTTTAGGTTTGCAGAGACTTTAAAGAATTTGATGAAAACCATTTATACCCTTCCTAGAAAAGGTACATAAACACAGATGCTTGTGTACAATTTCAGGAGTTAAGAATCTTTGACTTACGCTGTTGAACGTTTTTTAGACAGTAGCAATTTAATGGTTAGCTAATCTCAGACATGATTTATGACCACAGGTGCTGTGTGCTCAAATAAAATGCAGCCCACAAATATATATAAATTTGGATAGATTTTTCTGTAATTATCTCATCTGAGTCACTTAGTATTAAACCCCACTTTAGGGATAGGGAAAAAAGAATTCATTCATGCTGAAGTTATCTTAATGAAACGTCTCTTTGTGGTGGGGAACGCTAAATCTTAGGACAGTGTAAAGCAGATGAGGTTTAACAAGCCTTTTGGGCTACACTGAGTTACACATAGAAAGGCTTCCCTGGGTGAGGGTTTATCCTGAGACTTGGTGTGCATAATTAGGCTTTAAAATGCAAGCAACACTTCCTTTTCCACTTGGACTCACCAGAGTCCCTCCTTAGGGGCAGCAAAGGTCTCCAGAGTGGTCACCTCCTTTGGTCAGAGAGGTGAGTTATTTTAAAGAATTATAAGACCCTGAAGTTACTTTCCCTCCATGTCCCTCGGACGATGCCTTTCTGTAAGCTGCTCGGGACCTGCCACATCCTGGGGGTGTCTGATCCACAGAAGTGGGCCTCCGCGGCTTCCCGGGAGGTTTGTGTGCTGGGAGGAGAGAGCGGACTGAGGTTGCTGCTGAGTCAGTGGTGTCTCCCAAGGAGCAGGTTAGGAGTGGCTAAAAGGAACTGGCTCAGAAACTTCTAACCACCTTCTTTTTATTTAGGTGGAAAACAGCGGCAGCAGGTGGCTTTGCCTATAACGTTTGCTAAACACTATTCGCTTTGGAGAGAGCTGGGAATAGAAAGTCTGGGTGAGATTATGCTTCCCTACAGCTCTACAGGGTCACACACTGAGCAGCTGCCTAATATAAAGGGGTAGGTCTCTAGATCTCATATTATTCTGTACAAAGTTAAATAAATAGAATATAAAGCATATCTCAGAACTAAAACCAACAAATCCCTCTAAATAGTTTAAAAATAATTTTTGTTCTCTGGGGAGATTACACATACTATTTAGCTGCTTTGTAACATAATCCAGCACAACAAGCGTATGGCTATTTTTTGTTTTAATGAGAAACATTGTACATACGACAAACAGCTTCAGGTATCTGTACCAACCCCCTTGTAGCTAAACAGTCAAAACCTGAAGCAGCGCTTTGAATGTGAAAAGTCTTATAAAATTAACTTATAAAAATGCCCCTATCAAGTATGTATTTTGGCATTTACTGTACATTAGTCCAAAGCTAAAATCTGATTTTCTTAAAAAAATCAAAGTTTACATTCATACAGATGCAGCATTGTTAAAAAATATGCACAACACATCCATGCAATATAATTTCTTTAAAAAATTTAAAGCAATATAAAAGAGGCAGACCTAAGCACTGAACAGAACATTTTGGTTTATAACCTGTAGCTCAGAATTGTTAGCTGATTGGAGTAAAATTAATTCTAAACATTTTAAAACGGGATTGTTTTGTTCAGTCAGCCAAGGGTGCACGTGAGTTTCCGAAACCATTTCTAAGGCAGAATCTGCTTGCTTGTTTCTAGAACATACGCTACGTGATGAACACGACTGTTCACCTGACCATATTAGCTACATTTTAATAATGTTGACAAATAAGTCAGAATTCACAAAGTGCTTGGCTCCTCGGGAAACTGCGGTTCCCAGAGATCCCCAAACCAGTCCTCTCTGGCCGAGCCCGCAGGGAGGCGTCCGCAGCAGGTCCCTGGGCGGGCGGTGCCGCCGCTCAGTCACTCACAGGTCGGTCTGGGGCCACGAGCTGGGCTCCCGAGGACACAGGCTGGTGGTGGCGCCGCTGCAGGCTGAGCCTCTATGTGGGGGGTGGCCCGTTGGTGTACCTCAGCATGGGGTAAAAGGACCTGGCGAAATTGTTGGCCTGCGTGCAGCTGTAGTCCTCCTTGGAGGAGGGCAGCCGGCAGGCCAGCAGGAGCAGCAGGAGCAGCAGCAGCTGCAGGGGCAGCGCCGCCCGGAACACCCGGCACAGGAAGGAGCGCTGCGGCAGCGAGCGGCCCGGGTCGGCGGGGCCCGGCACCCTGGCAACAGAGAAGGCGGAGAGCTCAGCAGGAGGCTCGGAGGCAAAAACCCACTCTCGGTTCCTGACCCCCTGCTCATGTAAGTAAGACACCCAGGACCTGAGGTTAAAATGGGACCAAAGGCTGGGCTTCAGGTTTGGAAGGGAAGCTGCGCCCTTTCCAGGTGAAAGAACAAAGACCTTGTGGCCTTGGGGAGCCTGGTGGGTGAACAGGGGCGTTCAGGGCCGTTACCTGTTGTCTGTCCTGTTCTTGCCTTTGGTAGTTCTCTTTGCTCCGGTCTCCTGGATGAAAACAATCCAGTTAGTGACTTGAACATTTTTATTGTTGTGGACAAGGAAAAATCCTTCCTTAGGTGGGCTTCCTGACAAGCTTTGGCGACTAGAGAATTGGTTTGATACGAAGCTCTACGAGGTAAGTACCCTGTTTCCCTGAAAATAAGACAGTGTCTTAATATTAATTTTTTATCTCAAAGTTGCGCTAGGTCTTATTTTCGGAGGATGTCTTATTTTCAGGGAAACACGGTAGTGATTGGGTTTGTCGAGGCTCCCCTCTTTCACAACCTGGCACCGTCCCAGAGGAACCAGAGAGGCGCTTCCCCATCAGGCAGCAGGCCAGAGCGGTCTGTGGCGCCATGCGTGCTCTAGGGGGGCCACGGAGTCCCCCATTCCTGTCCTCTCAGTGGCTTTGGGAACTAACAGTGTGGTTCTCACAGTGGAAGGTTCTCACCTTTGCTGGGGGAGCTGGCACGTACATGGCTGGAGTCTTGTCTCCAGCATCCACCTCATCCGGGCCGGGCAGAGATGGGTCTGGGATCTGCAATCCATACCCCACAAGTCCATTAAATTCAGGGAAACGAGTTCTGAATAGTCTCCACAGCACAAAATCGTGCTTCATGCAGAGTCTTCATCACGCCACCCCCCTCACTCCTCCCAGCTCAGATCTTCCCGGAAGAGGGGCTTTTTCAAACAAAAGGGAATGTATGTAAACAAGGCCAACTTCTTGCATTAAAAACCGCAGCACGTGTGGGGGGAGGCTGAGGTCAGCAGGAGCAAGAGGGACAGAAGAGGAGCTGACAGTGAGTGTGCGCAAGTGCTGCCAGGACCATGTGTCAGTGAGACCACGTGGTCCTGCTGCACGGGAGGAAATGTGAACTCTACAACGGAGGGGCCACGGTTTGGGTGTTCATTTGTTCTGAGCTGGAACAGATTTTAAAGGCCAGGAAGCAGACAAATGAGAACGTGGTCAGAGGAGAGTGAGCAGGATGGAGTGTGGTATGTGAGAAAAGTGAAGGCTCGCGTCTTCAACATGAAGGCAAGGCAGAAATGGTGGAAGCACTGGAATTGTGTTGATTAGCCCAGCCCTGCTGATAGGAAGGCAGTCTTGTTACGGTATACCCCTCCTACGCTACAAACGATAAAACAGCTTCTAGAGCTTATGTAATGTTTTCCGGCCACATGGCTAGAGAGGGTTATGACTGGAGACGGCACACCCATGGTGAGCTAGCGGCCTTCCCGCTTGCATTTGTTATGACATCTTTTTATGTGAAAGCCTCCCGGGGACTCACCTGGCTTTCCTGCAAGGACATTAAGTCATGGGACACTTGCTCCAGTAACCCTCTGAGCTTCTTCTCAACGACATGCACCTTCTCTTTGGCCTCAATGTAGTCTTCTCCAGGCCCCTGAATGAGAAGGCTGTCTGAAATCTCTTGCAGGGAGTTCACTTGGGGTTGACGTTCCTTTAGCTCCTTTTCCAGTTGCTAAGGACAGACAAGTGTGAAACAGGGTTTATGCAAAGGGGAGCTGGTGCAGCGGGAGCAGGCGCTCATTCGTCAGGGATGAGCGCTGGCTGGCGCTCCACTCCAGAACCTCCCGCTCCTCCCCCTGTGTCCACAAGCCCAGGGTCCCTTGGAGAGCAAGCTGGCTGCACCCTGCCCCTTTTTATTCCTTCTCGTTCTGGAGTCAACTGTGTTGCTGCAGGAGTCAGAGGGAGAACTGAGGAAAGACAGGGCCCCTATCCACTAATGGCAGAGGGCAAAGGAAAATCCATTGAATTGAGAAAAGGCAGCGTAAGCCTACTATTATATTTAGAAATACAGAGGCAGCCGGCAAATTCGCTTATATTGTTGAGAGTGGTTATGTGGCTCTCTCGCTGTCCAATACGGTAGCTACTAGACAACATGTGACTATTGTTTAAATTAGTTAAAATGAAAAGTTCATTTCCAGTCCCACCACCGCATTTCAGGGGCTCAGTAGCTGCCACACTGGGCAGAGAGCAGACAGAACATTCCATCACCACAGGAAGTCAAACATTACATAAACTCTGGCTTTACAGAGGTTTTAAACAATGACCAGCATTATGATTAAATGTTAAATATTTAAAACTAAACCACATATAAGTATGTGGATGAAAACGTCAACTTGAGTGCAAATGAGGTCTCATGTTAACACGTTCATGAGATAAATACATGGAAACACAAGTGACCTCCACGAAGTAAGACTTTGCTAAAGCGGATAAAGGCAACTCTTACATGTGGACCATGTGCATCCGACTTCCCCCCAAATGAGCCGTATTCACAAGGGAGAAAAATGCTTCAAGTGGCCTTACGTGCCTCAGGATATTGCTAACACCCTTGTCCCCAACAACTTAGCCTTGAAGACTTCCTGCTCTGGGCCCTGCTCTTCATCCCTGCAGGTCATCCTGCTTCAGAACTCGGATGCACGGACACCCACCAGCACTGCCCTTCCCAGAAACTGTAGGTGAGGCTACCCAGGGAGGACTCCTGACTGGCCAGCAGGTGCAGAGCCGCCCAGGGGAAGACTTACCAGGAGTTCCTCCCGGCGCCCCAGGGGGTCTGCCTTTGGGTCAGTGACATGAGCCTGCTGCCTCCGGCTCTCAGCACTCTCCAACCACAGGAGCAGGCTCTGACTCAGCTGGTGGAAGTCCTTAAAGAACAACACATCCAGCATTGGCCATTCATAAAACAAAGTCTAGTCCATCAGAGTCATCTGCTCTTCCTGTCCTATCCAGTGGATAAAAGGCCCAAAACAAGGAAAGGGAGGGGGGAGAGAACAGTGGCCACAGCTCCAGGAGGCAGGAGGGAATCTGCCAGTGAAAAGGGCTGACGCAACGGCGGGGCTTCAGAATGCCCCACCTGCTGCGCCAGAGCAAGACCCCACAGATGTGCTGGGTTCAGTGGCTCAAGTACACTTAGTTACACAGACGTGCTATTCCTTAGGATGAATGGTCACCCCTGATGTATAATAACCCAAGGACAGGGCTGCATGTGGGCTTAGTGATGGCTCAGGCTCCCTACGATGGGGTTGGAGGTAACATGGTCTGAGCATTTAATGTGTTGGGTGCTGGGCTAAGACTATAAGCATACTGTCCTAGGAAGAATCGTGTGAGGGAGGCA